GAGGGTGAGCATGTTGGGGGGTGCCTGGGCTGGGAGGGTGGGGGAGGGGGGAATATAGACAAGGGCAGTGAGCCATCAACATGAACTTCAGCTGTTGAAATTTCTTGTCACTTCTTTCCTTTTTATTTAGAAGTGGATATTAGTAAAAGTACTACTACAGCATTTTTCTCCTAATTCTTTTTTTGGGGGGGTGGCAGTATAACTTGTTATACTAGATTGTCCTTTCAGCCATTAAGATTTAAATTTCACATTTCTGGTAGTAAAATCATCTCTGTCAATGTAGTAAGGCTGTAGCTTTAACACCACTTCATGTCTGATTAGAAGGTTTTCTTTCATAATTAATTTCCCTCTGAGCTCTTAGTGGAGAACAGTAGCCCACCGCAGAGAGGTTAGAATTCTGTGGACTTTGGCTGTTCAGCTTTAATGATACAAGGGAACAGCAGAGCAAGAATAAATGAGGTACTTTTTGGTGAGCAAAAAATGTGAACTGACTGTCAGTGTGAGCTTGGTTCTAGGAGCAGTTAGGCAGCAGTAATAGGGCACACTTGAGTAATTGAATTTGCATAACAAGGCTTGCCGAGGCGCTCTGACAGGCGCAGAGATTTGTCTAGCTAGCGAGCTCCAGATGGACGTGGCCACACAGCAGCTGGGCGGCACGTTGCTCAGCGTGGACAGCACCGCCCAGACTGGCAGCTGGACCCTGGTGACCGCAGGGCTGTGGCAGGCCAGCTGGTGGCTTCTGACAGCCAGTGGCCCTGTTAGAGAGCCTTTCATAATGGCCTGTCAAGGTACGGGACCTGCAGGGACCGGCAGGAGAATGTCACAAGTCACCAGTGAGGGTTGTTAAGCTGAAAAAATCTGTCCCAGGGAAGTAGAGGTGATCACTGTTGCAGCCACAAAGCTAACACCTCCCAGAGTGATTCCCCTCCTTTTTGAAGAGGACAGGCTTTTTTTTTTTCTTAAAAACATTTGCTCTAGACTTCAGTCATTCTGGATTATGTTGTATTCTTAAAGCCTTGAAACCAAGTTGGCCACTTTCCTGAGAACACATGTTGACTGTCAGCTGGGATGGAAGAGAATATTGTTTTTTTTAATGTTTTCCCTCTGTCTTTGCATATTGGCAACAAGGGCATTTTTATTTGGGGGAGGAAATCAGTGATGATTTAATGATTTATCTTGGATTTATTGCTCACAGGAAAAACAATATGTTTGAAGAATAAACTGCAAACAAGTGCGTGAACTGGTGTGCAGTTTGTTCAGGCCACTCCCCTCCTATGTCCAGGTGGACTGTGTTTATATGGAAGAATTCTATAACCACCCATCTTCTCAGATTAGAACAGACATGGAAGAAGGCCAGCTTTGTGCTCACTATTAATAAAGTTTGTATCTGTGTTCTTAAATGGAGAATTTTACCATTTTATAACACTTTCACTTTAGGAAATCATGTAACTAGACAATACAACTTTTTTTAAAGGCAGGAAAACTCAGAAGCATTTTTCAGTAAAATGAGAAACTTGCTGTTACAAGCCCCAAGCTCATTTACTTTTACTACAACCAAATTCTAGTGAAACAAAACAATTCATACTGGAGCAATGTGGACTTTATGGCAGTAAAAACAGTCCAGAAGGTTACCATTTTTAATCTTTAAATTGGCAAAGATACAGAAGTCTGTTCTTAGCCAAGGCAAGGAGAATATGTAGCCTCAAAGACTGCTGTTGGGGATGTAAATTATTTCAAGCAATTTAGAGAACAGTTTGTCTGGATGCATCAGAAGCTTAACAAATAGGCAAAATAATTTGCCTAGTAATTCTGCTTCTAAGAATGTATCCCCCCAAAGTCAGAATGTACTTTTAGCGTTGTTAAAAACTGATTTGCAGTGTGCCATCCATGGACCCCCAGGGGGCCCATGAGGTCAAAATTATTTTCATAGTGATACTAATATTACTCACAGTGAAAAAGGAATGCCTGATAAAAATACTGGCCCTCAGTGTAAATCAGGACAGTGGCATGTTCTTCACTGCCACATGCGTGCAGTTTCACTTAAGAATGGCTTGATGAGGCAATACAAATGATTACTTTTATTGAATTTTGATCTTTGAACATGTGTGTTTTTTTATATTCTATGTGATAGAATGGAAAGCGTACAGAAAACACTTCTGCTACTATAGATATTGTGGTTGCTGTAAGGAAAAGTACTTTAGTGATTGAGTTGCCAGCTGAACTATCTGCTTTTCCATGTAATATCATTTTTATTTAAAAGAGTGCCTGATAAGACATTTTATAGAAAAAGAACAAAGTGAGCGTGTTACTTAAAGTGTTTGTTGCCAATGATAAAATTGGATCTTTCAAGCAAAAATTAGAATTTTAGAAAACTTATATCTGGTTCTATGAGCCTGACAGCTTTTTAATACTAAAGACTTTTGTGATGAGATTTATGGTGCTATTAAAGAATGTGATTTCCTTATATAACATATTGGGAATTTGGAAGATCTGCATAACTCACTGAACCTCTATTTTCCAAAAGACTATTGTATAATGCTACAGAACTATGCCTGGGGTAAAAGAGGCATTCAAAGTATAACTTAGACATGTAGATTTTAATATAACAAACTGAAGAAAGTTCATTGGTATGCCACACTGCAACTGGCTTTTAATTTTTTTTTTTAACTGAAGTATAGTCAGTTTACAATGTTGTGTTAGTTTCTGGTGTATAGCATACTGATTCAGTTATACATATATATATTCCTTTTCATATTCTTTTCCATTATAGGTTATTACAAGATATTGAATCTAGTTCCCTGTGCTATACAGTAGGACCTTGTTGTTTATCTGTTTTGTATATAGTGGTTAGTATCTGCAAGTCCCAAACTCCCAATTTATCCCTCCCCACTCCTTTTCCCCCTGGTAGCCTTAAGTTTTCTATGTCTGAGTCTGTTTTTGTTTTGTAAATAAGTTCATATGTGTCATTTTATAAGATTCCACTTATAAGTATTAACATATGGTATTTTTCTTTCTCTTTCTGGCTTTCTTCACTTAGTATGATAATCTCTAGGTCCATCCATGTTGCTGCAAGTAGCATTATGTCATTCTTTTTATGGCTGAGTAGTATTCCATTGTGTGTGTGTCTGTGTGTCTGTGTGTCTGTGTGT